TGGAAGTTTCATTGTATTCAATATCCATCCCTCCACTGTGACATTGTTGGAGTAGAAAGAGTCAGATTACTACAGACACAGCCCTCTGCTCTGTGAGGCTCAGGGAAACCCCAACTCCTTAGTCCTGTCCAGCCTCTGACTTCCCCGGCCTTCCCCGCACGCGTCTCTGTTTTGTCAGCCCCCAGTAGGCACTGGATAGGCATTTGTGACTGTCTCACTTCTCCCCATGTGCCGTCAAGTCTGTGAGCTCCTTGCGGGCAGGGGACCCAGCCTCCAGCGCTCCCGGGTCCTGGCCAGGTGCCGTGGGTGGCCGAGGAGGCTCGTCCAGGCTGTGGCCATCTCCAGCCCCAGGGAGCCACCCTCCGGAGGACGCTGGCCGCCGAGTTCTGGTATCTTTGCTGCAGCTGGTGTTGTGAATCAGGCCGACGCGCAGCGCATCCTCTTACCCGGCTATTTCACGACACCAGGGTTGCATGGTACCCATCCTCTCCAGGCGAGCCTCGAGGGACCGCGCTGAGCCGTGATCTCGGATGTGGGGGTGTGGGCTCAGGGCACGATGTGGAGATGGGGTGAGTGTGGGGGACAGATTGCCCTTGTTAGACCACTGGGTCTTCGTCCTGACTGCATGTCTGGATTTCTGGGAAGCTTTGTGTTTAATACCAATAGTGCCTGCCTTCCTCCTTCTGTTCGTCAACCAGAATCCCCAGGGCAAGGGCCAGGCACCAGCGTATGTTAGAGTTTCTCAGATGCTGCTCACGTGGGTGACGGATGGCTGGGTCTGAGGTGGCCCTTCCTCCCTGACTACTGTCAGAGTGGCCGCAGCCGTCTCCTGGTCCCGTCACACACCTCTGCTGTCACACATCTGCCCTCACCAGCTTTCCCAAACTAGATGGGACTCCACGGCACAGGCCAGACTCCTCCCGACGTCATGGAGACCCTCCCTACCAAGTTCCCCAGCTCAGAAATGGCACCCCATCAAATCCACCAGATGCTCTGCTTTTCCAGACAATCTCCTCCTGTACCAGCCAGATCCAATTTGATGGTATGTGCACACAAAATAATAAAATAAAAATTTAAAAAAAAGAAAGAAATGGCACCCCAATATCTCCATGGAGTCTTTCCTGCCCCTCCTTCCCTCACATTCCTGACACCAAGTCTATGACTTAACCTTCACAATGTGCTCAAATCCTGTCCTTCCTGGCCTGAGCGTCACCACCTTACATCTTCAGTTGCCTTTGACTAATAGTCTCTATGCCAGGCCCTCTTGCCCTCAGTTCATTCTCCATGCAACAGTGATGTGATATTTGAAAAACATAAATCTGGCCATTATAGAATATTATACACATGGCCTCTGCCATGTCTCAAACCCAGTCTCCTCAGCCCCTTGGCCCAGCCACCCTGCTGCCCTTGCACACCTGCCACAGGGCCTTTGCACATGCTGTTCCCTCTGCCTGGGATCCTGTGTCCGCCCTGTTTCCATATGGGGGCTCCTTGTCATCACTGGCCCTCAGTTCACATTTCTGCACCTAGTGAGCACTAGCCACGCTGCCTTGTTTTAATGACACCTATTGCTGAATGCATTTGTGAGAGCAATTGCTAGTTTATATGTCGTCTGTTTCCCTGACTAGACTGTGCGCTCCGAGAGAGCAGGGCCTCTCCTCTGTCTTGTCCTGCAGTGCCTCCATGTCCTCGCACAGGATCTGATACACAGTAAGCATTCAATAAACATGTGTGGAAGAAAGAAACGGTATGATCCGTTCCAGCTTCGTTCCAGCTTCAGCTCCCATTTCTCTCCTTCCCCCAACCCCTGCCACCCCACTCCTGTGACATCCTATGTCAGTCTCCCTCTCTTCTCCTCACCACATGTCCTTCCTTTCTTCCAGGATCCCCCACTGCCTGTCCATGTCCACCGGTGTCACAATTCAGCTCCCCTCTCCCCATCCTGGACGCCTCCTTCCTCTGCTGCAGCCTGCCTGTTCCCAGTCACTGCTAGTCCATGAGTTCCGGTACCAGGTATACTAGTAGAGCAGAATAAGTGTTGTGGGGCCTCTGTGCCCTGGAGCCAAGGGGCTTTACTCAGAGGTGTAGCGGCCCTTCCTGCCCTCCCCATCCCACCCGCTCGGGGCAGGGTCTGTGCTTCCAAGTGGTCTTCTTCCCGACTGCTGCTGTTTTCAGCCTCCCTCACTGCCCTGCTCACCTCCTGAGGTGACATGCAGGACACCCGAGAGGCTGACGCTGGCAGAGGAGAAGTCACTGGTGCAGACAGTAGTCCCATTTTGCTGATGAGGTCTGAGAGGTCAGGTGCAATGCTCAGAGTCAGACGGAAGCTGCTAGAACCATGTGTGATTGTGAATCTTGACTCTTCCCTCCAAAAGGCATGGAGACCACTTGGCCCCTGCGCTATTTCAACAGCCAAAGTGCTAGGAGGCAGGGACCCTGATGACCCATGACCGTGTCCAGGAACATTTCTTAAATAGAGAACATTCCATCCAAATGCAAGCATCCTTGTCCTGGGATTCTGTGCCATTCTGTGCTTTGGAACAAGGAGCCTAACAATCTCCGCCATTTGTATAAAACCTTTGAAGGCTCCTGCTTAAAAACCCCAGCCCACCCCAGTAGATGCTAAGGGCTCCTTAAAGAAGCTAGTCCTCCTCCGGGGTTTGAGGGATGTGAAATAGCAGGAGAGGGATTTGCTGAGGGAAGTAGATGTGATTTCCCAGAGGTCGATTCTGCTGGGAACCAGCTCTGGGTGCCAGACGCCTTCTGGCACCCTCCTCCTCCTCCTCCTGAGATCTTAATCTGGGTTAAATTTTCCAGTGCTGCCCCAGGGTGGAAGAATGGTGCGGAGGACTGTTGGGCACTGCAATTTTCACCTGTAAAGTAGAATCTTAATATTGAGAGTGTGATAAGATCGGTAGCATGGGCCCCTCGTGAGGGGATGAATAATTCAGCACAAACCCAGCAGGCCACAGGGAAGGCGGGAACGTGACCATGATTGGGGGGCCTTGACCTGAGGTTCTGGCCTTAGAGCCTTCACCCCCACAGGTGTGGGGGCTGGGAAGTGTTCCTGCACACGCTGAGGGGGAAGGAAGCTAAGCCTGGGGGGCAGTGTTCTCACAACTTACTGTGTATGCAAATGACATCAAGGGTGCAGAAAGGTGCCCAGTGGTTAGAATCACCAAGCGTGTCAGCTCAGCTCACCTCTTCCCAGCTGGAGGCAGGTCGCCACCTCTCTCAGCTTCTCTGAGCTGCGCCTGGGGCCTATGCGGCTTCCTGAAGCCCCAACAAGCAGGGCCAGGCTGCGGAGAAAGTGTGCCTTTCCAGACCCCTTTCCGACACTGCATGGAGCTCAAGCATAAGCCAAGCTCAGACGTCTGGAGCTGAGTTTCCCAAACTCATCTTCCGAGGCTCAGGGAGGAAGCCGTCCCTGTTGTGCCCACCCTGACCCTCCCCCAGGGCCATCTCTGGTCACTGCCCTCCCCCCCCTCCTGGTAGCCCCTTCCCCACCAATGCAACACTGTTAGAGTGGGCACAGTGCCCACCAGCCGAGCCCCTGCTCCGCCCGGCCCAGTGTGGTGGGCGTTGTGCGTGTCTGGTGAATGACTTAAAGAATGACAGGTAGGTGAGTAACAGTGAACCACGACCATCAAGGCAACTCCATCCCCAGAGAAGCGTTCCATTCCTGGGGAGCAGACAGTGGCCCTAGGGCCGTGTGCACCGAGCCCTGAGAAAATTATTTTTTTAAGGTAACATAGGCTTAAAAGTAAATATTGACTTTGCACAAAGGTGCAGCTTACGAAAATGGTTCAAGTTTGTCATCTCACCTCTGTGCCCTGCAGGAGCTGGGCCAGCCCAGGGAGGGGTCCTGTGGGCAGTTGGACAGTGGTTGTGCAAGAGGGGGACTGGGCAGGGGGGAACCTGCCTGCATTGCCCCTCACACAGACCCTCCCCCCCCAGGGCCTGCAGATCAGCCTGGCCTTGGTAACCCCCAGCTCCCTAAGCCCTGGGATGCTGGCTACCAGGGACTTTAAAGTTTCCCCAGCAAGGCCGTTTCTGTAGGTCAGGAAGTGAGAGGTGACTCTTTCATTCCTAAGGGGACCCAGTGGCACAGTGAGTTCCCACCTCACCAGTTGATCTTTCAGAACCCTGACCCTCCTGTTTCATTCCCCACAGCTCCATTTTCACTTCCTAGAACAGATGCCTCCGAGGACCAAAGTCAGTGTCACTCCCATAAGATACTGATTGCATCTTTAGTGAACAATTTTACATACCCCCCACAAACACATCAAAGATTCTTTTTCTAGGTGTGGCAGCCATCTGTCCCTCTCGACCCCATAGATTTGATTCCTACAGAATCAGAGCCTCTTTTTAAGCTCACAGTCCCTGAGAGAGAGCATGAGCCCCCGTAAGTGTGGTAACTGGGGCTTGTTTGTGCTTATTCACTAATCTGCACTGAGCAGTTTCACATATTTCTCTCCAACAGCAAACCACACCTGCTGCAGGGGGTCCCTCACCTGTGTCGTACTCACTCTGTCCCTTGGAAGGACGCACAACACACAGGGAGACAGGTACAATATGCCTCTTCAGCATCATGCGTCTATTAAAAAGTAGCACATTGTAGACTAGCATGAAATGCCTTTGAACTTGATCCAGGGGGGCCCTGAGAAGATCCTCTGACCATCCGGCCGCTTCTTCCTCACCAGGATCCTGTCAGGGAGCTGCTGCTTCCTAGACCCTGACAAGGGACCTCCACTGCCCTCCAGACCCAGGGCAGTCCAGCGCCCCCTCCTCTGCTTTGGCTTAGGGCCAGTCTAGCCTGCTAGTCCGGGGCAGGCTGGTATCCCAGCAACCACAGGGCTTTGGAGGACAGTAGATGTGTAGGCCACCTCCCTCCGCCAGAGACCCTGCTCCCCAGCCAGCCGTGGGCAGTTTGGGCCAGCATCTCTGCTGCAGGCCCAGCCTATAAAGCCACCCCTCGTGTTCCCTGCCAACCCTGGTCTCCTCCCGTGGCACCCACAGCCACGATGGCAGAGCTGCCGGCCTCTGAGACGCCAGGAAACCCGGCCCTGTGCAGCGGACGCTTCACCATCAGCACGCTGTTAGGGAGCGACGACCCCCCGCCACCCGCTGCCTTTGACAGCAGCCAGCCGAGCCATCTGACCCACGGCAGCACCTTCTACATGCGCACCTTCGGCTACAACACCATCGATGTGGTGCCCACCTACGAGCACTATGCCAACAGTGCCCTGCCGGGCGAGCCCCGCAAGGTCCGGCCCACGCTGGCTGACCTGCACTCCTTCCTCAAGGTAACTGCCACCCCAGAAGGTGGGCCACGGCCGGCTGTGCACTCTGGGCTCGGTTACCTAACCCCTCTGGGCCTTGGCTTGTAATCTGTCCAGTGGGGATGGGCGTCTATTTTATGGGTTGAGAATCTCAGAGGAAATTATGGATATGAAAGCTGTGAACACCCCAGGCGCTTGTCCTAAATGTTGCAATGTTCACTGTCCAACCCTAGCAACCCTTCCAGTCAGTGAAGGTGTATAAAAACTGGTTGCACACCCCGGGGCCGCTAGCAGAGGGGCACTGGAGTGAGCTACCCAAGTTAGCAGCCCAGGGGCTCAGTTGTGGAGGATGGAAGACTGGGAGCTGCATCATAATCACCCTTCTTCTCTGGGCTGAGCTTTTCCTGTCTGCCAATTGGCAGAATCATTCTTGGTTCTAGAAGCACTGAGACAAGTTTGCAGGACCCTTCCCCACCCTCAAACAAGCCTCCATCCTGGCTCCCCTGGTCACATAGGACCTCTGAGTCGAGATGAGATGTTTATAATAAAGTCCCAAAGGTAGGCTACCGTTGCCTCAGGCACAAAGCAGGAGACTCACAGAGCCCCTGGGGTGGAGGCCTGGGTTCAAGTCCCAGCTCTGCCAGAGACCGCCTCTGTGGTCCTGGCAGGTTGTGTCACCTTTTGAGCGGGGGTGGAACATGACAGTAACTCTTTGCTGCTCTGTCTCGGACTGTCCAAGTGCCTGGTCAGCTCTGAGACCCACTGTTCTAGTGGGGAGGAGGGGTATTATGAAGGGCACTCCAAACGCTCAGCCTCGCTGGTGACTGTTTCCCACAGCAGCTGTGGAACTTGTTTTTGTTGTTTTAAATTTTATGTATGTGTACTGTCAAATTGAATCTGGTAGAGGAGGAGATTGTCCCTCCTTCTCCAGGAGAGGATCTGCTGGATTTGAACTGCATACCTCTAGGATTGCAGTGCAGCCTCTTGCCACTAGGCCACCAGAGGTGGCCAGCTGCAGAACTCTTAACAGCCCTGTAAGACTGCTCCCAGTGAGGGCCAAGGGTTAGTGTTAGGCTCAGCTCGGCCTGGGGCTGCACGCAGAGACTCAGTCTCCGCTTCAGTGCTCCTGCCTGTCTGATGCCCGGCCTTGAACTTCCAGCAGGAAGGCAGCCACCTGCACGCCCTGACTTTCGACAGCCGGCCCAGTCATGACATGACTGACGGGCTGGTGGAGGATGAGGCCGACCTCAATGGCAAGAAGGGTCCCGAGGAGCCCGTGCGCTTTGGCTGGGTCAAGGGGGTGATGGTAAGTCGGGTGTGGAGAGAAGGGAAGATGGGGTGCTCTCTAGGTTCAGCTCACCCAGGGCCTCAGTTTCCCCATCTGCACACCTGTTTTGTGCTACCCCAACCTTGATTTATCCTCCAGGCTGAAGCCAGGCCTTGGGACATTGTCCAGTCCTCCCCCCTTCCCGCTCCCCGCCATCTAACCCTGCAGACCTCTCCCTTACGAGCAGGGATCTGGCAGCTAAGTGCCCTTGTTTACATCTCTGCTTGGCCAGTTCCTGATGCTGTGACTTGGAGATGACTGCTCATAAAGTTGTCACACTCAAAACCCATTGCATCAAGTCGCTTCCAACTCACAATGACCCACTCTCATGTCTCCAAGGCTGTAAATCATAAGAGACGATTTACCTAAGAGAAGAGACTGCTCATCTTTCTCCCCTGGGGTGGCTGGTGGATTAGCTGTAAATGAGTTAACAGAGGGAAAGCCTTACATCAAGGAGTTATTAGAAGACATTTTCCTCGTGGTGCCACCAGGGGGCAGCAGGAAGCAAACTTCCACAAAGGCATTTGCATTCTTCTTTAAGACTGGATCTCATACTGTGCTGTAGGGAATTTCAATGCCAGCCTAAACGTAGTTGGTTTGGCTCTACCAGGAGCTCCCTGGGAGAAAGCTCACTGCCTCCAAAAACCTACCGGCGGGTCGATTCTGAGTCGGTTCTGACTCAGCAGCTTTGAGTGATAGAAAAGGAACACTTGCTATAATGGAGGGCTCAAACAAATCCAAAAGCTGAACTAAGTGAACTTGGGCTTGGAGACACATTTTGGGCTTTCACAGAAAGGGCTGCACAGGATGTAGGAGATAGCCCTGGTCCTGCTGTCCCGGGAGGCAAGAAGCCCAGGGTCTGATCCTCCTTCTCCATCAGAGCAGTGAACCCTCGCCCACTCCAGACACTCATATTGAGAGTTAGGGTCTCCTTTCCAGACTGGATTGAACAGAGGCTGGCATGGCTTCGATTAGTGTCCCAGAGCCAATTGGGGCCTTCTGAAGGCACCTCCCTAGTGCCTCAATGAGGCTATATCCTGGTGGGGACCAGAGAACCACACCAGCCCTCCCACTGGGAGCTGTGGGTTCTGGCTTTGTTTAAATTTGGAACTGAAGTCACAGCAACTGGGGCTCTGATTTCTACATGAATGTAGGGCACGGGCTCAAATGACATTTACTGAGCTCCCTTGAAATGTGTCTGCTGGGCCAGCAGCTGGGCACTGACAGCTAAGACTGGACAGGCAGACATGGAGTCGGGCTCAGGATGGGAGTGAGGTGTGGGGATGCTTGTCGTGGTGTTCAGGAGAGTAGACAGTAAGGACAGGCAGGCTGCCAGGTTCCCCTTAACAGCCGCCACCCCCCCCCCAAAACCAGAAAGCCAGAGCTGGTTGGAGGGAGTAAAGCAAAGCTAATTCCAGGACCCTCTAGGCCAGGTACCTGCATCATGTCATGACCGTGTCTTTGGGTTTGGGGGTACCTGGCCTGCCAAGTGGCCTCTGACTCCACCCTCCCCCTAGATCCGCTGCATGCTCAACATCTGGGGTGTGATCCTCTATCTACGGCTCCCCTGGATTACAGCCCAGGCGGGCATTGGTGAGTGTCCCCTCCTGGTCCTCCTGCGCTCCTGGAGAGGACTGGAACTTGGGCTGCAGAAAGCATGGGCCAGGTCTCATCCTCCCGTGATGGAGGTCAGGGTGGTCCTGGAGAGGAACACTGGACATGGAGTCAGCGGGTCTGAGGGCTCTTCCTGGTCAGTTTGCCCTGAAGTAAATTCCGTAACTTCTTTGAGCCAATTTCTACTTCAGGGTATTGAGATTAGGGCCTTGAATTCTAGGCACATCATGGTGCAGATGCTAGCTCTGCGTGCTGGTCAACTTCAGGCAAGTTTCTTAACCTCTCTGAGCTTTGGTTTCTTCATGAGTAAAATGGGGATGGTGACACTTCATGGTGGTACCTTCAGTTCCTCACTGGAGGTTTGGGTATCTCTATGACACAAAATATGTGTGAGTGAAGCTTCCAGACTAAGTGGAACTAAAAAGAAAGGCCTAGAAACTTAAAAACAAAAACAAAAAAAACCCCGCTCATGAAAATACTATGTGCACAATGGTCTGATCAGGGCTGGTGCAAGGTCATGGTCAAGTTCCATGAGCTTTCTATGACTCAGGGGTTTGCTGAATAGCAGCTAACAACGATAAGAGCAGCTTATTGCTTTATTTTTTATTAGAGAGAAGGCCCATGTCTTTGGCAGCTAATGAACCTCGCCATGGTCATGAGCTCTCTGGCTCTGTAGGATATTCCAGGAGATGAGCAGAGACCTGTTTATCAGATGAGAAAGAGGGTGATGTCTCACAGAGTGGGCAGACTCCAGTGCCTTATGTGGCCCTTCTATTACTGCCTGCCTGGGAAGTGCCTGGCTGGGTTTTGAGGGTACACCCCCCACCCCTGCTTCCACAGCCCTCACCTGGATCATCATTCTGCTCTCGGTCATGGTCACCTCCATCACCGGACTCTCCATCTCCGCCATCTCCACCAACGGCAAGGTCAAGTCAGGTCGGCTCTATTCCAGCCCCCACCTCCCTTCCCTTGACCTGCCCCAAACCTAATAGGACACTTATCTCCTCCTCTGCTGAACCCCCAGCTCTTTCTGAAATAATCCCTCCCAGTGGGATGCCCCAGCATACTCCATCCCTTCTCCCAGACTCTACCTACGCTGAACTCCCCCCAGCCAGCGAGCTCCCCTGATTTTACAGCTCTGGCTCTGGCCCCTCTAGGTGGCACCTACTTCCTCATCTCCCGGAGCCTTGGCCCAGAGCTGGGGGGCTCCATCGGCCTCATCTTTGCTTTCGCCAATGCTGTGGGTGTGGCCATGCACACGGTGGGCTTTGCGGAGACTGTGCGAGACCTGCTCCAGGTGAGATCACCTGCTCCAGGTGAGGTTGAGGTTGGCTGGAGCCCAGGCTGCTCGCTCCCCCCCCCCCTCCGCTCTGCTCCCACCACGCCCAGCGCTGCTGCAGGAGCCAAGGAGCACAGTGTCCAGGGGTTCAGGGACAAATGCAGCCTGGCCTGTCTTCTCTTCCAGGAGTATGGCACACCCATTGTGGACGCCACCAACGACATCCGCATCATTGGCGTGGTCACCGTCACCCTGCTACTGGCCATTTCCCTGGCCGGCATGGAGTGGGAGTCTAAGGTCAGGAGGGACTGGAGGAGGGACATGGTGGTGTCAAGTGGTCAAGCTGGGGCCTGGTCCTGGCTTGGCCTTCCCTTGTGTGTATATTAAAAAGTCTATAGAAGGCAGCTCCGTTGGCTTAGTGGCAAGAAGCTGCACTGCAATCCCAAAGGTGTGCAGTTCGAATCCACCAGATGTTCCACTGGAGAAGGAGGGGTAATCTCTTCCTGTGCCAGTTGGATCCGATTTGACGGTACACAACAAGAAAAAAGAAAAAAAGAAATGCCAAGTGAGTTTGGCCCTTAAAAAGTCTATAGAGGTGGCCTAATGGCAAAGAGCTGCAACTACAATCCCAGAGGCGCATGGTTCCGAATCCACCAGATGCTCTGCCGGGGAAGGAGGGACCGTCTCCTCCTGTACCAGTCAGATCTGATTTGATGGTACACGCACACAAAAATAATAATCATTTTTTAAAAAGTCTATAGAACATGGTTCTACTTTGATGGACATGAGTCGACGTGAATTGGGGTTGCCTCCCAGCAACTAGATTTTGGTTCACACAGTCAAGTACCAGAGGCTTATTATTCTGAATAAGGGAAGAGGACACGTCTGGCTGCCGCTGGTAGAGCTGGCGCGCTCTGGGTCCTGCTGCTCCTCATGCCATGTTTCCTGTTCCCTCCTGTTCCACCAGCCACAGTGGCCTCCTCACTGGCCACTGAGTACCCCCAAGCTTACCCCTAGATCACTCTATGGCTCTCTCCTCCTTTCGACTTCTCTTCAACTGTCTTCTCCTCCGAGCTGCCCCCCTGGACTGCCCCTGATCCCCACCACGCCCTCCTTACTCCCATGTCCTCTCACTCGGTACGAGGCAACACAGAAACCACGACTGTGTCGCTCACCTCTGTACCATGGGGACTGAAGGAGTGACTGCGTGAGGGGCCTCGGGGAGCCTTCCCTGCTGGCCGCCCCGACCTGACCTCTCGGCCTCCTTCTGCCCCCAGGCCCAGGTGCTCTTCTTCCTCATCATCATGATCTCCTTTGCCAACTACCTGGTGGGGACACTGATCCCCCCATCTGAGGACAAGGCCTCCAAAGGTTTCTTCAGCTACCGAGGTGTGTGGGTGTGGGTGTGTGATTGGGGGGGCCTCTGCCCACAGCTATGGGGACAGGAATGTCTGTCATCACCACTACATGACCATTAGGGAGATTAGAACCCCTACTCATAGGGGAAGGGGTGGCCAAGGGAGCTGACAGGCTGTCCAGCCAGAGTGACCCTGTTTTATCCCTTGGTTTCCCAGGGGACATCTTTGTCCAGAACTTGGTGCCCGACTGGCGGGGTGTGGACGGCAGCTTCTTCGGCATGTTTTCCATTTTCTTCCCCTCAGCCACAGGCATCCTGGCAGGGGCCAACATCTCTGGGGACCTCAAGGTACGCAGCATTTCGGTCCCTCCTGCCTCCCGACACTGTGAGCCGTGTGCAGAATCTTGCTCCCTCGTTATTCATTGCTTCCTTGTTTTGTTTTTTTTTTTTAATTTTTTTTTTTTATTTTGTGTGCGTGTACCGTCAAATCAGATCTGACTGGTACAGGAGGATATTGCGCCTCCTTCTCCGGCAGAGCATCTGGTGGACACTGCTTCCTTGTTGAACTTGGCATTGAGACCAAGAAGGCAGATGTAATGCAATCCTACTAATCTAGTGCAGTCCTATCTAATCCCAGCCAGTTTCCAGATCAGTGCAACTCAACCCAACTCAACCCAACCCAACCCAACCAAGCTCATTTCAGTTCAGTTTGGAGGTTGTTGAATGACATCCATTATACTCTCAGCTCTTAAGGGCACCCCAAAAGTGGTCTTGTTTCCTCCCTGTGTTCCTGGGAATCTCAGCCTAAGAGGAGACTGTGCTAGCTGTGACCCTCCCAAAAATTCAGCCTTGACTGTGCACCCTTTTGCTAAGCTCTCTCAGCCCACAGTGGGCTTCCAGGTTCAGCGTCCAGGACGCCCACACTCCGCTGTCACCCTTCCCTCTCGCATCCTTGTCCTGTCTTGCCGACCCTCACCTGCTCTATGCTTTCAGTCTAGGATGCCCCACCTCGGTTCTGCATATTGTAAAGTCCCATACCATTTCTCGTCTCTCCCTCTGTCCTTCCCGTCGGAGTCCCTGCTCCCCAGCAGTGTTGCCTGGTATTATTTCTGTTTCTCTCACATCTCGAGATTTCTAACTTGCCATCTAATACATGTTCCAGTTCTGCCTGTTGTGTGAACAGTGGTGAAATGTGGCCAAAGCAAGTGTTAGATCCAGGCACGTGGTGCTGAAAGTCAAAGAGAAGGGGAGACTCATATTGTTTAGGGGGGTCCAACAAAACTTTGGGGTGGTGTGGGCTTAGGCTAGGTTTGCTGATAAGAGTGATTGGAGGATGAGTGGGGAGCCTGGCTTTGGGCTGGAAACCCCAACTAACCCTTTGCACACACAAAAGTTTTTCTTTGATGCATTTTCTTAAGTGAATTAAGACGGTGCATTGGGAAAAAAAAATCTAGAGGTGTGGCCTGGCTTTAATCAGATATACCCTGGAAGAAAGGAGGAAAGCCTGGAAATTGGAGCAGCTGTGTGTGTCCAATCCGAGGGCCTGTCCTGGGGTTACCACACAGGCCAGGCTGGGACTCAGAAAGTCCGGATTCCCCACAAGAGAGACCATTGCCTGAGAATCAGTCCAGACACATTGCTAGGCTTCTGAGTTTCCCATCAGCCCTGAGTGGTCAGGGGCCATTCTCTTCTCTGAAGTCTGAGAGGCTGCCACTCACCTGATCTTAAATGTCCTTAAGCCCTGTAGGGGCCTTGGCTGCCGAGGTCAGAGCCTCTGGCCCATCACATGGGGTTTCATATGCAGTTATCAATACCCTCCAAAGACAAGCAGTTCCTGCTTGTTGAGTCTCTGCTGTAAGACCTGGGGCCTCTCCGGCTGTGAAATGGGACTAATACAGCCCCTATATTTCAGGGCTTGGTGGGGACCTAATGAGCTCATCCACCGAAATTGCTCAGAACAGGGCAAAATACAAAAAATGAGCTAAGACGGCCAGCGGTGCCCTGGGGCAGCCCTCGGGGTGTTCATACCAGTGTCTGTCCATGATACATGCCACAAACCGTCCTCAATAGGGTTCAGGCGTCTCCTGGACCCACCCGGGTGGCAGAGAAGAGGGAATACAGTGTCTAGAACAAGGAGGTCTTGACTTGATCGCAGTCCCTCCATCAGCTGTCTCTAAGCGGCTGCTTCCTGCTCGCCTCCAGCGTATGAGCATTAAGCCAACCAGACCCAGCCTCCCCTTCACGCAGTAACATCAGGGTCGAGACTGTTGACAAACAAGTGAAATGTGACTTTCACCAGATGGTGGCAGATGACGGGGAGAAAAACCAAGCAGGGGTGGAGCAGGGTCAAAGGTGGACAAGGTGGCCAGGGATCGCCCGGAGCAGGTGACAGGGATGCGGAGACCTGTGGGGGGACTGGCACCATTATAGCAATGGGAGCTGCACCTGGTGAGAGTGAGAGAGGGGTCATTTAATATGACTGCCGACCAAACTTGTGTGCAGTGCTCCGCAGAAATGTAGTATATTTTTTTATAATTTGTAATCTTTGCTGTGTTTATTTAAAATACTTAAGACAAGTTTTTCCATTACAGCTTCTATGTAAAGAAAGAATTGTATTTGAAAAAAGTACCTTTTTTCTGAATTCCTTAATATCTTTTTTCTGAATTCCTTTAATCTCTTTTTTTAATATGTATTTTTTACAGACTATTCTTCCCATTTATTTTTTTCACATTCATTCATTGTTGCACATTTCCCCCCTGCCCACCACTCCCTCCCAGTTCGCTTTTCTCTTTGAAAAGAAAAAAAAATCTTTCATTGTTATACAATCCCTCTTCCCCCGCCAAGTACACAGTCCACTTTTTCTGAAATCTTGTCATGAAAATAATACGTAATCCTATATTCCTTTTAAATGGTTCTCTCCCTCAATACAGTTTCAATACAGTATATCTTACTTATCCCCTCTTTTTTAGGGTTCCCCCAACCCCAATGTCAGTCCCGTTTTACAAGTGGCACTATGCAGTATTTGTCCTTTTGTGACTGAGATATTCCACTCAGCATAATGTCCTCCAGGGTCACCCACTTTGTATTATTTTAAAAAAAAATAAAAGTGACAGTGAAGTGTGGTTGAAGGGAGCTCTGGTGGCCCATAAGGAGCGGTGCTGCCAACACAGAGGCAGGCAGTTTGATCCCAGCTGCTCTGCAGTCTCCTCCCGTGCAGTTAACGGCTCCTGAAAATCCACTGGGAAATCAGCTGTGGGTCAGCTCTCCGTTGACAGGACATAACAACACTCCTGTCATTAGTCATCATAACAAAGCATTTTCATAAGCTTGCCTTATGTGTTACAGGGTGAAGCTGTAAATCAACAGGAGGGGTGTAGTCTGGAGAGCTGTACTCCTAATCCATCTCTCTGGCGGTTCAAGTCCGCCAGTCCCTCCTTGGGAAGCAGAGGGTCAACCTTCTTCTGTGCAATTTATAGCTTCTGGAAACCCAGGGTGGGTGGAGGGAGCCATCTGTGAACTGCCCCATCCTCTTCCTCTGTGGGATGTGGGGTCAAGGCTCTTTCCTATCTCTGCTGGAAAGAGCCTCTGAGAAAGAGGCCGGGACTAGACACGAGGCCAGGGGCCACCTAACGCCCTCCCCCAACAGGATCCCGAGGTGGCCATCCCCAAGGGGACGCTCATGGCCATTTTCTGGACCACCGTCTCCTACCTGGCCATCTCAGCTACCATTGGTAAGTGGCTGGGTCATGGGGACAGGAGGGGAATGGGAAGCCAGCCCCTACCCAGAGTGGCCATGGCACAAGGTACAGGGCGCGGTTCAATTTGTCTGACAGGGAGCATAGACTTGCAGGTCATCTTGGTCCCAGGAAGTAAAGTCTAGTGCCCAATCCCTGGGGGCACCTCGGTGGACCTGAGCAGCTTCCCTGGGGCACTAAGGGAGGCTGGAGCAGACAGAGCCTCTGGTCCTTTCACACCTTGGAGTTTCTAGACAACAAATCATATTCCAACCTTTGCTATTGTGTGCACTGTTGAGTCAGAACTGACCCACAGCTGACCCTCCAGCAGGTTTTCAGAGGCTGTAAATCACACGGGAGGACATTGCCCATTGCTCTCCCATAGAGTAGCTGGTGGATTCGAACTACATACCTTTGGGTTGACAGCACAGCTCCTTACCACTAGAAATGATAACATTAATAATTATAAAAACAGCTCATTGGCCACTTGCCCAGCCCTTATATACTTTGTCTCATCTAATCCAGGCACCATCCCTGTTTTACTGAGGAAATGGGGCTCAGAAGAGTTAAGTCAGTCACCTGTGTGAGGTCACATCCTGTGAGGTTAGGGTCACATGAGGTTAGAGCCAGGGCTGGAGCCCACACCTGTGCTGTTCACACCTGCCTACCTCTGAGAGCTTCCTTTGTGAGGCAAGGGGGTCCCAGGTGACCGAGGGACTGGCCCTGAATCACAGGGTTTGCGATCCAGGTCTCTGCTTTTAAGGAGGACATCCTGTCTCTGAAACTCTCGATGCATCTCCAGATGGGATCGAGGCCACTAAAAGAGTTACAGTAACTGTGCCAGGGTTCTTGTAAAGGACTCACCAGAGAACCCGGCATGCTGAAAGGATGCCTTCATCTGAGCTTTTTATAGCATTATCATCAGAGACCCCGGATGGCACAGATAGTCATCCAGTCACCTGAGAAGGAAGCCCTGATCATGTCACGGCCCTTAAAAACCCTGTGGTGTGAAATTCTACTCCAGAGTATATGGGGTTGCAATGAGTTGCTATCAACTGGCAGAAACTGGGTTTTATTATTATTTATTTTATTATTATTATTATTATTATTATTATTATTATTATTATTATTATTATTATTATTATTACTATTACAGGAGTGGCATCCACTTACGTAAATAGCTTGCCTCCAGAAATCCTATGAACCTGGAGAGAGGATGAACGTCGCGCCAGTGTCAAGGACTTTCGTTCATAGGGTCGCTATGATTCGCCTACGACTCGATGGCACTTAACAACAACAACATAGTTAATTATATGGGAGGCTATGAGAAGATTGCCATCCTTCTTCCACAGAGCAGCTGGTGGCCTCAAACCACGTGTCTTTGGGATTGCAGCACAACTTCTTGCTATTAGGCCACCAGAGCTCCCTAATATTATTGTTGTTGTTGTTGTTAAGTGTCGTCGAGTTGCAGGCGACTGACTCAGCAACCCTATGAAGGAGAGTCCTCAATGCTTGGTGTCTTTCCTCCTTTCTCCAGGTTCATAGGGTTTCCAGAGGCAAGCTATTACAGAAGTGGATGCCGCTCCTGCTTCCAAGCTTGTTTTAATCGGGGTATTATATGATCAGGAAGGATCAGGCACCCTCCACAAAAGTGGCCAGCATTTGGGGGCCAGGAGGGAAAAAGCGAGAGGACTGGACGGGGGCTTCTCATACCTTCCTCATCTCCCAGGCTCCTGCGTGGTGCGAGATGCCTCTGGCAGCCTGAACGACACAGTGATTCCAGGCGCAGGTCCCTGCGAGGGCCTGGCCTGTGGCTACGGCTGGAACTTTACCGAGTGTTCCCAGCAACACAACTGTCGCTATGGCCTCATCAACTACTACCAGGTACCCTCAGGCCGTTAGGGGCTCACCTCGCCTTCCTGAGCTTTAACTGGCCAGGAAGTTTTCCCATTGTGGGGTGAAGGTCGGGAAGAGAGGCGGTTCTGGGCCGGGATGGGTTTACTTGGGTATGGGAGGCCAGGTGAGCTATCAGACTCAGGCCCCCCAATTCCCCCGGCCTATGACCCTGGAACCCTGAACTTCATACCCCGCAGAGTATGAGCATGGTGTCGGGGTTCGCACCCTTGATCACGGCTGGCATATTTGGTGCCACCCTCTCTTCTGCCCTGGCCTGCCTGGTCTCCGCTGCCAAAGTCTTCCAGGTAAGGCCACAGTGGAAGGCCCTGGGAAGGATGGCCTGGGAGGACCAGTTGAGATGGGTTCAAAGGCCGAAAGGTGAACACAAAGGTCATGTGTTTGAAGTGGATGTTGTTCCCTTCCTGGGTGTGGTGTGAAGAACTCCTCCCCTCCTGTGCCTCTGGTGGCCACTGTGGCTGAAATCTCACCACCGTTAGTCAGCTCAATGCCACTGGCCCCTCTGTGGCCCCCATGTTGCCCTCTCATTATCACCATGGACCTTCTTGTCCCTGGGGAGATGGGGGGGTAGTGGAGATAGCACCCTATTTAACAGGGCAGATACCACATCCCAAACTGAGGAAGTGCCCCACCATGGAGGCCACTGAGTCCGACAGGGGTGACAGGTACAAACAGGTGCATGAGTGTGGTGACCTGTGCCCGCAGTGCCTGTGTGAGGACCAGCTGTATCCACTGATCGACTTCTTTGGCAAAGGCTATGGCAAAAACAAGGAACCTATACGCAGCTACCTGCTGGCCTATGGCATCGCAGTGGCCTTCATCATCATCGGTAAGAGGCCCCAGGGCTCGGGGAGGGGCCACCGCTCTGCCTAGCCAGCCCTGCCCCCACCCTGCACCGACCCTGGAAGTTAGAAGACTGCCTGGTGGATAATTCTGGAGGAAGTAGTTGAAGCTGGAATGTGACTGGGAGAAGTCAGGTGTCCGGTCACCCCACCCACTCCCAGCCAGCTTTCTTCCAATCCAGGCCAGGCGAGTGGGGCCTTCTGGTTGGTAGAGGGGACTCTGTTCTCTATCCTGATTGGGCATCCAGTGTCCTGGCTGCTGGGACAATCCCGAAGCGAAACTATTCCCCGAGATGTCCCTGTGCTCGGAGCTGGCTGGTCCACCCTTGGAGCTGATAGAAACGACTGGGTCTATGTCTCCATGAGCATAAACCCAACCTCTCAGGCTGAGATGTCACGTTCGGAGCTAGTCAGGTTGAAGCTGTCCTGGCCGAGAGACCTGTTCACTCATTCAGCCTGGGAAGGATAGACCATCAGTCCCCACAGAAGGACAGAAAGATCTCCACTCCACACATGTTGACAACATAGGAACTCACAGCATGCACACCTACATGGATACACACTCATCCAGAGGCACCCACACGTCACACTACCCACATGTAAACACATGTATACACCTGTAGATACACCCAAATGGACACCCCCCCACCTGCACTGCGCACATGGGAACATGCATGTACAAAAATACAGCCCCCCCCATGGACCTAGCCACACAAGTGTAGGCACACACCCACACAGACGTGCGTTCATATATTTCACATGTACTCTCATGCAGACACATGCATTTTCATGTACATGGTTACTTCCTCATTTACTCCAGTAACAGGACCCTCTGAGTGAGGTGGTCACGCAGAACAGTGACGGTCACCCTGGCACGGCATGGAGGAGCCAGGGAAGGCGCTGTTGGTGACTGTCCCTGCCACAGTGGATCTTTGCTCTCAGGCTGGCATCGTCCCAGCATTTCTGTCACTTTCATTCAAATGAACCTTTCCTGGGTCCTGAACCCAGTGGAGGGACAGCAGGACCCCACAGAGGATGGGGTCTGGTGAGGCCTGCTGTTCTTGGATTCCCTCCCTTCCTCCTCCTCACCAGGGTCCTGGAACCCTGTCTTTCTTGCAGTCCAGCCTGCCCACCCCCCCAGCAGTGGTTTAACATCCTTTGATTTGGGTAGTTCTCCAATCTCCCTCAGGCCCCTTTGATGATGAGATGGTCCCATCACAGAAGTACCATGTGGGACGTAAGAAAGGCTAGTCTGACTTGGGGTTCCCCTGGTAATTGGCCCTGGGACAGGGATTCTCAGGCAACACAGGGTCTGTCTGGGGTGCAGGGACAGGGGCAGAGAGGAAGCAGTAAGATGGGGAAGGGTAGAAACATGTCCCTTTGTTTTGTGTTTTGAATGATATTTTTCAAAGCAAAGTGGTTTTTCAATCAACCGTCATACACATTTTGTTTTAGAATATTAATCACAATGCTCACAGTGCAATCTCATTCTCCAATTCCCTCCCTGTGAGTCTCATTTCCACTAATCCTCCTATCCTACCCCTTTCTACCTTCAGGACTTTGCCCTTGGACAAATGCTGCTCTTTTGACCAGGCATGGTTGGTTTTTCTAAGTAGTAAGGGGTCTCCCTGGTATTAATGGTAACTTTTCTAGGCCTGCCTGTCAGATATTTGGCTGAAATCTAAACCAGAGGTTTGGAAGGTAATTAATGAACCAATGTCTCAGGGGTCCCTTGAGCCTCTGTTGGATTAGTAAGCTTGGCGATTTTATATGGTTTTTAGGATTTCTCCCCTCATTTTCTCTGCACTCTATTCAAGATCTTCCGTCTCAGGGTCCCGGAAGCTGAGGTTCCCATGATCCATTTGTCTTTTCAGCTGTTTCAATTCATCTTTACTTTTCTTTCCTCTTCTTTGCCCTGAACAAGGAGAGACCAGTGGTTGTGCCTTAGATGACCGAAGGTCTAGTCACTACTGACCAAAATAGGATGTAAAACAATTTTTTTTTTGTGGGCCACGTTATGCCAATTAACCATGGTGTCCACCAGTAAGAGCCCATTCTTGAGGGGTCACCATTGTGGGTGGACTTGTGGTGTAGTTTTGGGGTTTTAGGTGAAAGGTGAGTGTGTCACACACTGTAAAATGTACGTCTTACTTTCGTTTGTGGTCAGAAGACCATGAAGCCTCCATTACCCACCGGAAATCTCTCGGCCTGGAGGGTTCTGTTATCGTTGCCTGCCACTCTCTTTTAACAGCTGGCTGTGTAAACCATTTTCCCTTTGAACTTTACCAAACAAAGACCCCATTTTGCAGATCGGAAAGTTAAGCCTCACTGAGTTCCGTTGGCTTGTCTGGGTCCCCCACCCTGTGAGGGAGGGTGTTAGACGGCTCCTTGGTGGATTTCCCAATGGGCTGTCTTCTCTCTTCCTGGGTCCCCGAAGCTGAGCTCAACACCATCGCCCCCATCATTTCCAACTTCTTCCTGTGTTCCTACGCTCTCATCAACTTCAGCTGCTTCCACGCTTCCATCACAAACTCACCAGGTAAGCGGACACCTCCTCTCCCAGAGCCTGCGCTCCCAGCCAGTGGTGGCGGCATCTGCAGGGGGTGGTGATAGAAGGCACGGGTGGAGGTAGACTGGCCAGGGAGCTCTGGTGGCCTAGTGGCAAGAAGCTGTGCTGCAACACTGAAGGCACGTGGTTCGAATCCACCAGGTGCCAGTTGGATCCAATTTAACGGTACACAACAACAGCAACAAAAATAGAAAACAATTTAGGAAACCTTCATAAAGCAATAATCATAGCTTGCTTTCTCAAAAGAACCCTTTGCTAGTCTTAGTGCTGGGCGCTAAGATTGGCAACTCAGACCCACCCAGTAAGACTGGCATCTCAGACCCACCCAGTAAGACTGGCAACTCAGACCCACCCAGTGGCCCTGCAGGAGGAAAGGCCTGGCTATCTGCTCCTGTAGAGATTGGTATTGTTGTGCTGAGAACCATCGAGTTGTATCCGACCCATAGCTGACCCTCCAGGGGGTTTTCAGGGGCACAGGAAGAGATTGCCCATCCTTCTGCCTAGCTGCTGGAGGATTTGAACTGCGTGCCTTCAGGACTGCAGCGCAGATTCTTACCACTAGACCACCAGAGCTCTCTCCTGGAAAGATTCCAGCCTGGAAAACTGAACGAGCCAGTTCCCCTCTTAGTAACACCCGATCGCATCCTTCACGGAGCATTTACCGGATGTGCTTGCCTTTGGCTCCTCCACCATCACAGGTGAAGCCAGTGGAGGTCTTTCTATTTCCCGCCCACCAATTATACAGACATGAGGGTGTCAGCTTCCCAGAGAGCAGGAAACTGGCCCTGGTCACAGACAGTGCGATCCCCTGTGCTGACTGCAGAGCGTGGGGGCACGGCCCTGCTATGCTGCAGCCCTCACAGGTTCCTACGCCTCTGCTGAGTGTGTCTTGGCAGGTGGAAGTGTCTTAAGGACTCAGAAAAGGACAGTTTTCCTATTTAGCACCATGGTGCTGCTGGGCTGGTCTCAGGCTGTCTTATGTCAACCAAGGAGCATGGTGTTCCTGAGTCGGAGATGGGGCAGCTCTTACAAGAGGTGGAAAGCCCCCATCCTCAAACCCTGCCGCCTGGCACCCTGTCTGTTCTCTGTCCTCGCTCGCCCTTTCTTCAAGGCCAGTCCTGTGGTTGACATGGGAGTCCACTTGGCCCTATTTGGCCACTGTGTGGCCTGTCAGCATGGGAAAAGGCCAGTCAGGCCAGGCAGGTGGTCCCGCTCCACGCTCGGGGCCCAGCCCCAGCACCTTGTGTAGATGGCTGGTGGGCCTCAGGTCGGGCCCCCCGGTCTCGGCATTGCTGACTTGGCTGCACAATGAACGCAGAGCTGCTCGGGCCAAAGGGCAGGCCCCGGAGACCGAGCAGCCCTCGCCCTCACCCCGGTCCAGGCTGGAGACCCTCATTCCAGTACTACAGCAAGTGGGCAGCACTGTTCGGGGCAGTGGTCTCGGTGGTCATCATGTTCCTTCTCACCTGGTGGGCGGCCCTCATTGCCATCGGCGTCGTACTCTTCCTACTCCTGTATGTGCTGTACAAGAAGCCAGGTACGTGAAGCAGGTAAAGGGCCCTTATCCCGAGGGGTCCGGGCAGTGTGCCCCCTCAGAGCCATGTCAGAACCCTGGGATTCCCTGCCCGGGTGGCCATGTGGGCTCCTAGGGCTTATAGGGCCAGGCCCCAAGTCTGCCCTCCTGAGCGTGTGGACACGCTGGTTCTGAAGGGGCAGGGAAGCTGCAGAGGTGAGGCCAGATCTTGGAGAGGGAGCCACAAATGGACCTCAATGCCACAAGACATCTTTGTGTCCAAGTGAAAGGTGTTTTGGCCATTGAACATGTAGCTATGTCCGGGCCTATGGCCTTGCAGTCGTTGGCAACAGAGCAGGGGGCCATTCGCCTCTCAAGCTGCCTCTCCTCTGTGGGTCTCAGTACCCGGAGGTGCCAGGTGCCCCCGTTCTTCCTCTTCCCCCCCACCCCGTTCTTCTTCTTCCCTCCTCTCCTCCCTCCCCACCCTCCCTTCTCCTCTCTGTCCCCCTTCCCTCTGTCCCTACTTCTCTCTCTGTCAGCTCTGTGTCTGTTTCCCCCACAACTTCTAATCTCAGCTCATTCATCCCTTGCTGCCCTCAGAGGTGAACTGGGGCTCCTCAGTGCAGGCCAGTTCCTACAACCTGGCCCTGAGCCACTCCGTGGGCCTCAACGAGGTGGAAGATCACATCAAGAACTACCGGTGAGTACGTCCCCTGGGCCTGACCCCGGCGCAGACCTGTCCTGAGCTGTCCAGGTGGAGCCCAGGCTCAGTGTGGAAGCCAGGAGTGGGAGATGCCCAGAGTCAAGCCTGTGCCTCAGTTTCCACAGAAGACCCCACGCTGTATACCGCAGAGATCCAGGCCAGGGTAAGCTGGGGTTTGACACCCGTGCATTCACCGATAATCACCAGCACCACTCGGAGGTGGAGGCAGCCTGGAGGAGCTGCTCCGCTTTGTGACTGGAGGTGTGGCCCACAAGTCCCCTTCCCACCCTTGAGGGCACAAAAAAAAACACAACAAACAGCGCCATTCAGTTCACATGTTGCAAGTGCCTGAGTGACACAACCAGTTAACACACCCGGCTGCTACCTAACAGTTGGGGATTGAGTCCAGTAAGAAGCTCCTTGGAAGAAAGAGCTGGAGAGCAAGTTCCAGAAAACCAGCCCCGGGGAGTCCCACAGGGCACAGCGCTGTTCTGTGGTCACTGCGAGTGGACTCAGCAATAAGAGACTTGTATGTCTGTGTCACCTAGGAGCCAGGCACTAAATGCCTTACACACCCTCCTGGGTCTGGCCCTCAGCACCTCAGGGGACATGAAGCTGCTGACCCCAGTCACGGAGGAGGACACTATGGCTTGGGTGGTCAGGTAGCTGGCCCTGGTCACATAGCTGGTGGCTTAGCCCTCAAGCGCTGTTCCCTGCTGCCTGCCAACACAGCCAAGCCACCCAGGACTTTGTGAGCAGGGCCTCCTCCAGTCTTCAGCTTTCTACACCCCCACCCCGGAGGGAACAGGTGGGCAGTTTACCCCAGCAGAACATCTGGACGGTGGAGGCCCAGCTGGACGAGCTCTGGAGTTATAACCAGGGAAATGAGGCCCAGAGCACAAGTCAAAGGCCTCGTCTGGTTCTCCAGTCCTCCAGGCAGGAAGAGCAAAGTGGACAGACGGACACCGAGGAGCCTGTGAAGTGCACCCGGACCCTGGTAGGGTCCTTCCCTAATGGTTACTCCTTTTTCTTATTCCCCCCACAGCCCCCAGTGCCTGGTGCTCACTGGGCCCCCAAACTTCCGTCCTGCACTGCTGGACTTCGTAGGCACCTTCACCCGGAACCTCAGCCTGATGATCTGTGGCCACGTGCTCATTGTGAGTCTCTCGAAGGTGGAAATTTTCAGTGCAAGTCCAGACAGACGGGGACGTCCTACTTGGTTTTGCTCACACAGCTCTCCCTTTTGCTCTCAAGTGACCGCCTCTCTCCCCCACA